CTTCATGAGTTTTGAATAATGTATACACTCATGTAACCACTGCTTCATTCAAGATAATAAACAATTCTATCCCCAGATGGTTGTCTTTAAAATCAACCCTCATCCTACTTCATATTTGGCCCACTTAGCTGTTTTCTGTAACTATGGATTAGATTTGACTTTTCTAGCATTTCATAAGAATGAAATCACTTACATATTCCTTTGTGTCTGACTTCCTTCACTCCACATGTTTTTGACATTTGTTAATGTTGTGCCTGTATCTGAAGTTTGTTCCTTTTTATTGCTAAGTAGTATTCCTTTGTATGGATATGCCACAATTTGTTTACCAGTTTACCAAATGTTGATGGACATTGGGGATGTTTTCAATATGGGGTTATTATGAATAAAGCTGCTAGGAACATTCTTTAACAAGTCCTTTTGTGGACTTACATTGTTATTTTTCTTATCTTACAGGAATAAAACTATTAATACAGTAACTGTGTTTAACTGTATAGAGACAAACTGATTTCCAAAGTGGAAAACATTTTATATTCTCTCCAGCAAGATATGAGAATTGCTTCACATCCTCATCAACACTGGGTAGTTTCTGTCTTCTTATTTTTGCTTCTAGTGAGTATATAGTGGTATTTCATCATGGTTTTAATTTGCATTTCCCTACTGACTAATAATGGTGACCATAAAAGATGTTTACCAGTTTTTCATGTGTTCTCATGCCAGCTGTTCTTTGAGTTTTGACCTGCTCCGCTTCCAAACTGGGCTGGTTTACCCCTCCTTAGGCAACCTGGTGGTCCCTTGCTCCCGGGAGGTCACCATATTGATGTCGAACTTACTGCAGACACCCAATTGGCATAACACACTACAGCCCAGAACTCCTGTGCTCAAGTGATCCTCCCACCTCAGCCTCCTGAGTAGCTGGGACTACAGGCAAGCTACTGTAGTACAAGCTACTGTACAAGTGTCTGAATTTATTGCCCAATTTTTAAGAAAGTCTTTGGATTCTCATTATTGAGTTGTAGTTCTTTATATACCAGATGTTTGTCAGATATATATAACAAACATACACTCCCAGTCTGTTTCTTGTCTTTCAATTTCTTAATAGTTTCTTTCAAACAGCAGTTTGTAATTTTGATGAAGTCCAATTTATCAAGTGTTTTTTTGTGTGTGGTTGTACTTGTTATATTTTACATTAATCTTTGCTTACTCTGGCTTCTTACAGAAGTTTATAGTTTTAGCTGTTATATTTAGGTGTATGATCTATTTGGTGTTAATTTTTGTGTATGGTATGAGGCAAAGGCTGAGGTTTATTATTGTCCACATGGATATCCAGTTGTTTTGCCACCATTTGCTGAGAAGATTATCTTTTTTCCCATGAGTAACCTGGATACATTTACTGAATGTCAATTGGCCATAGATGAGTGAGTCTATTTCAGGACTCACTCGTTATTCCTTTCATTTGATCTGTATTTCTCTTCTTATACTAAAACCCTACTATTTTGATTACTATAACTTTATAATAGGACTCCAACTTAGGTGTAATAACTCTTCCAATTGTGCTGCTTTTAATTTTTTTTTTCAAAATGTGTTTAGCTCTTCTGCTTTTGTTTTTGTTTGGTTTTCTTCTTCTATAAAAATTTCAGAATTAGCTTGTCAATGTTTTAAAAATTCACTTTTTTAATTGAGCAGACCTTAAATCCATTTATCAATTTAAGGAGAAATTGACATAACAATATTGATTCCTCCAACCTATGAGCATATCTCTTCATTAATTTAGGTGTTCTTTAATATTTCTCAGCAATATTTGTAGTTTTCAGCATAGCAGTATTACACATAATTTTAAAAAAGAATCCCTAAGTATTTTCTTTATTTTTGATATTTCATAAATGGAATTATTTTTGAGTTCTTGTTTCCAATTTTTTATTGCTGTATGGAGAAATACAGTGGAATTTTGTACAGTAGCCTCACATTTTGCAATGTGGTTAAATTTACTTATTTGTTCTAGTAGTTTTTCTTTTTAAGTTTCCTTAGGATCTTCTACAAGCTCTGCTTCTTTTATTTATTTGTCTTGCCTTATCACACTGGATAGGATGCCCAGTACAACGCTGAATACAAATGGCAAAATTTAGTGTCCCGGCCTTGTTGCTCATCATAAAACAAAAGCAATCAGTCTTGTACCACTAAGTAGGATGTTAGTTGTAAGTTTCATTAAACTCTCTTTATTAATTTAGAAATTTCCTTCTATTTATAGTTCCTTAGAAATTGTTTATTTTGCCAGGAGTGACTACTGAATTTTGTCAATTTTTTTCCGCATCAGTTGAAATTATTATATAGTTTTTCTCCTTTTTTCTCTTAGTTGATTGAACTATTTGTTAAACTCCCCTTGCATTCTTGGATTAAAGCTTACTTGGTTAGTGTAATGGATTATACATTTGATATACTGTTGGATTTAATTTACTAAAATTTGTTCAGGATATTTGTGTCCATACTCATTAAAATTATTGGTCTGTATTTTTTTCTTGTGATCTCCGTCTGGGTAGAGGTTCATCGATATTTATTTATTTATTTATTTATTTATTTATTTATTTATTTTGAGACGGAGTTTGGCTCTTGTTACCCAGGCTGGAGTGCAATGGCGCGATCTCGGCTCACCGCAACCTCCGCCTCCTGGGTTCAGGCAATTCTCCTGCCTCAGCCTCCTGAGTAGCTGGGATTACAGGCACACGCCACCGTGGCCAGCTAATTTTTTGTATTTTTAGTAGAGACGGAGTTTCACCATGTTGACCAGGATGGTCTTGATCTTTTGACCTTGGGATCCACCTGCCTCGGCCTCCCAAAATTCTGGGAGAGGCTCATCAATTTTTAAAAATCTATTCAAAGTATCAACCTTTAGTTTTGTTGATGTTTTTCTATTAGTTACACATTTTCTACTTCGTTGATTTTAGCTCTTACCTTTACTATTTCCTTCCTTCTATATTTTTTCTTCCTTCTTCTTTCCTTCCTTCTATTATTTTTCTCTTCTTTTTCTTTAATTTCTTAAAGTCAAATTTTTGCTCATTGATTTTTAGATTTCTTTTTTCTTATATAAGCATTTAAAATCATAAACTCCTAAGAAGTACTGTAACTATGTTCCATAAATTTTGATAACCTTTTTATATAGTTAAAATATTTTTTTCTTTAACCCATAGGTTATATAAAACATTGGTATTTAATTTCCAAAGTTGGGGGAATTTTTTAGATATTTGTCTATATTCTGTAAATACATAATATCTTACATAATGTCTTATGTATTTACAGAATACATGTCAATGTCTGTTACATGCACAGAGTATGTTACAAGGGGAGCATCTCAGGTTTTCATCACCTTGAGCACTTATCATTACTATGTGTTAGGAACATTTCTAGTCCTCTCTTCTAGCTACTTTGAAATGTACAACACATGGCTACTAACAATAGTCACTCTACTCTTCTATTGAACATTAGAACCTATAACTTCTATCTAACTGAATGTTTATGCCTATTAACCAACCTCTCTTCACGTCTCCCTCTCACTCACATGCTCTTCCCAACATTTAGTATCCATTATTTCACTTTCTACCTTCAAAAGATCAACTTCCTTAGCTCCCTCATTTGAGTGAAAACATAGTATTCATCTTTCTGTATTTGGGTTATTTCACTTAATGTCCTCCAGTTCCATCCATGTTGCTGCAAATAACATGATTCTATTCTTTTTATGGCTGAATAGTATTCCACTTTGTATATATACCGCATTTTTCAATCCATTCATCAATTGATGGATGCTTACATGGATTCCTTATCTTTCCTATTATGAATAGTGCTACAATAAACATGGGGCACAAGTATTTTAATATATAGATTTCCTTTCCTTTTATTAAATACCCAGTAATGGGATTCAGATACATTTTTATTTGTTTTTAATTTAATTTTATTACAGCCAGGGAGAATAGTTCATCTTATTTCAATGCTTTAAAATGTACTGAGACTTGCTTTATGGTGAAAATATGGTTTTTTTCAGTGAATGGTTCATGTGCACCTGAAAAGAATGTACAACTTCTGTTGCTGTTCGGTAGATTGTTCTAAAAATGTCAACTGGTTCTCATTAGTTGACACTATTGTTGAAGTCTTCTATTTCCTTTCTAATTTTTACTACCTTTATTCTGAATAATAATAATTACTACAACATTACTAATACAATCTTAGATTAAGTGATTTTTCTGTTGGTGGTAACTGTATCACTTTTAACATATAATTTATAATTTACTAAAATTCCAATTATTTTCTTATTTGCTATTAATCTTGCCTTTTTTTTCCCACATCTTCCTTCCTTTTATTGAAAAAAATTTTAGAAAATGGCAGTTAATAAAAGGCACAAACAAATCAATAGGGATATACTAGTGGAAAACACAATATAAAATTAAAATGCCACTGGCTTCTTTAATTGGTTAAGAGCACAAAATATAACAGGCAGAAGATCTGTTTCAAACAAATTAAAAAGCTATGCGTTTTAAAAATTCTCCCCAAATCAGATATATACACACCTACAAAAATAGTGTGTGAAGGAAAACTATCATACACAAGTCATATCTTGAATTCTTCAAGGAAACACCCTTTGAAATATGAATTAACAGAGTCAGCAACAGATTAATAATTTTTTAAAATTGAGTCTTAATATGCTACATAGCCCAAAACTATAATACATAAAGTACTGCTAGGCACAAAGGAAAGTCTGTACAGCTTTAGCAAAACTGCTTTCCCAAAAAAGCAAATTAAAATAATTCAATAGCAGACCGAGGAGACTACAGCTAGACATCAGAGCTACAACTTCTCATATCTGTGTCAGAAAATCTTATTTATCCAGAATAGACTAAAATTTCAGGACAAAACAGGGACTTTTTAACATTTCTTACTTTACCCATTTTAAGTTCTTTTTATCTCCCCCACCCCCAAAACCAGTAATTCAGCAACATCCAGCAGAAAGAGGGCTGCTTTTAGAATTGGCTATTTTATTTTTCTTTCTATGGCAAGACCAGAAGCCTGGATATTTCAGTCATGGAGCCTGGATATTTCAGGCTCATATGCATCCATGACCAGTGTCCCACTGTGGTCAAAAAACTTAGCAACGGACTTGGTGAACTCGGCTTCCCGCTGCTGCTTTGTTCTCCCACTGCTGAAGGTCAGCTTCAAGGTTTATTTGTCATTAAACCTTTGAAGACTGGAGGACAGCTGCCAAATATCATCAGGATCCATTCCTGTAGGATCTTTCCTGTGGGCCACAAGGAAGATGCTCTTCTCCTTATATGAGGTATAAATGGTCAGAATCCCCATCATCACAAAATAGGATATGACGCACAAAGCCAAAACGGGTTTGGACTCTGCAAAGGGGTGCATATAATCCCAAATCAAAGCCACTATGGCAAAGAAACAAGAGAGTGTACAGATGGTGAGGCGACCGTCAATTAGACCAAAATTCTCCACATATTTGTATTTTTCCAGAAGTACCTTTTTGGCAGAGTCATCCAAAGAGTTTTTCACGGCTGATCCATCCCACTTGTCAGTTTTTACAGACTTATCGTCTATCTGCCACTTATCCAACAAGCCACTACGGCCAATGCCTGCCCCGCAGCTGGAACCACCACCAGCCCCAGTACTGCCTCCGCTACCACCGCTTCTCCAGCCTGTGCAGCTGCCGCCGCCATCTTATCCACCTCTGCGTATCCCCTAATCTTGACTTCTTAAAATATTATTTGTATTTTTAGTTGAGAATTTCATAGTAATTTTATAAGATTGTTCATTTAGCACTATCAAATTCCATTTTTGGATATGCAGTCCCTCTTTGGAACCTATCAAGGTCTTGGTAGAGCTAATTCTTTTCCTAGTATGTTAGCTAGCAAGCTTGAAATCATATTTGGAATTGATACAGAAAGCCATGATGCTCTTGAGCAAATAATTATTAGACATGTAGACATGGATAGAAGTCAAATGCAGATACTAACAGAGACTTTCTTCTCCATTTATATTTATTCACATCCTGTAGTACGGTCATTCAATTGCTGATAAATTCTACAACTCTATTATTGTTACACCCAGGCTACTTTCTTCATCTGATCCACAAGGATTTTACAGGATATTTTTCAATTACCTTTTAAATCCAGATATAGTCTCATTTGTTCCATTTACCTGTCTGCTAATATTTGGAATAAAGAAAACTAAGTCAGCCTACCAGTTCTACCTCTTAGCAAACAAGGTTGGCTTCTTATACCCATAATTTCCTTTCTGTAGTGCTCTCAAATTATGCTTCTAAATCAATGATTTAAAAACTTGCTTAGTTACAGCAATAGACTAGAGTTCACAGAATTTACTACTTTTTCCCACTTAAAAAAACAGAAGTGGGGGTTACTGCAGAGTGTAAACTCATAAGTATGGCAGAAGGTTATCATTTTTTTTTTTACTTCATTCAATTCTAACAAAAGGCATGTATAATTATTCCTGCTTTACAGCTAAGAAATGAAGGCTCAGAGAGATCAATTATCTTGCCCATGATCCTATATCTAGTGAGTGGCAGAGGCAGGACTGACCCTGGATCTAACTTCAAAGCTTATGCTCTCTCTACCACTTCACCTGCCTCAGAACTACATCTGTTTATTCTGGTCTTCTGGTGCTCACTGTGGTTCTTCAAATCTCACCATTGTGCTATGTTTAAACACCTTTTCCCCATAATCACTGAAAATCTGCACTGAAAAAAAAATGCTCAGGAGCCTTAGACGCTCTTGTGTGTACACAGCTTTATCTCTCCCAACAACACAAATGCCAGAAAGATAGGTTTCAGCCTAGGGACATAGAAGATTAGAAAGGTGTGGTTCTTGGCCCATGAGTGTCCTCCTATATGCCTTCATTTCAGTCTTCTTCCAGTCCTAGATATTTTTTAAGCTCCCTTCTCCAGTAGGACTCTTGTCCACATTTTTTAAAAGATCACTGTCTTTTAAAGGTAGTGGAGGAAGGAAGGGAAGAGCAGAGCAATGGATGGGGAAATTGTATTTGCAGCCCTTGACCCTGTATCAGGAGTTAGGAGTACTTTTATGTCTTCTTCATGCAACATGTCTTCACAGATGTCAGGCAAACCTGGTATTCTTATTGAAAGGGCCAACAACAGGATTCCAAATTCATCATCTTATTTCCCCTAGCTTAGTGTTTCTCCCCACCAAAGAAGTTTTAATATGATCCACAGTAAGAAGTACATTTCTCATCATGACCAAATTCCTATCTTTTTAAGTATATATTTAGAACAAATTTCATCAAACAACACTTACTCTTACCATGCATAATGTCCTCTCATGTTTTCTTAACGATGCTTCTCAAACTTTAATGTGCATGCTCTGTTCATCAGCTAGGGATTTTGTTAAATACGACGTTCTGATTCAGTATCCAGGGTGCAGCCTGCATTTTAACATATTCTTACATGGATGCTTCTGTTTCTTAGATTGCACTTTGAGTAGCAAAGTTCTATTCTGTATTGTTCTATTTAAATGTTAAATTACTTTCAGGACTCCCAAATGTATCTGGACTGGCAGTTTGTAAGAGCATTGCTGGTGTATTGGGGCAGCATGCCTATCTAGGATATTCTTGTAAATGTAGATTTACTGTGGAGTGAGTTCATGCTTGGAAGTAGTTCAGCAAGGAACAGGCTTTATCTTCCATATACCAAGATCATAGAAGTAAAGACATGAATATCTTTCTGAAATTCTTTTTTAAATTTCAACATTTGATACAGTGAATACATCTATTACAATTTGGAATAAATAGATCCAAGTATTCTGCATAATGAGGACTTATAATTGTGTGTGAAAAGAGAGTTACAGAAGTTGACCGAAGGCGAATATGGCAATGATGAAAGTATCAAGGGAAAAAAACATTTCCTGTAGTGTGATCGTCTTTTGTCTGCAATATGAATGCATACAGTCTCAGTCAGAGTTCTTGTTTTCAAGTAACAGAAACCAACTCCAGCTAACTTAATAAAAATAACATTGAAGGATTCCAGAAGAGTAGGCAGCTGGGAAGACCAAAGTTAAAAATGAGGAAGAACCCCTTTAGAGGACTGGGAAAAAAAGAATCAAAGCCATGGTCTCAGAGCTGAACCAATCTGGACAGGCTGTCCCTGCTGAGATGAATGAACTTGAACCATTTCTTTCCTTAGTCTTCGCATCATGCTCTCAAGATCAAAGTCACAGGAGAGAGCATTCATTTGGCTGAATTTATGTTTTGCATTCCCTCCTGGCTATTATGAGAAAACAGGAAGGATTTGGCCCTTCAAATTCCCATAGTGGGACAGATGGCCTGATACACATCCTTCCAGGAGCATAAGAAAGTGGGGAGATGAGATCTCCCAAAAGGAAAACAGGATACTACTGGGAAAAGGAAATATTAGGTTGGTGCAAAAGTAATTGCGAGTTTTACCATTAAAAGTAATTAAAAGTAATGGCAAAGCATGCAATTACTTTTGCACCAATGCAATAGATTCTAAGTCATTAATAAACTATACTGGACAAAGCGCTGTGAATTGGTCAGGCCCTTATTACAAGTGTAACAGGAAAGTAAATAGGATTTCAATGTTGGGTGAACCATGGGTATAGTCTCATAGAGTAAATCATAACTGGTGCACATTCTAAGTACATCCAAATCCACTCCTTGCACAACTTAATAAAAAGTATCAGAAAACCAATTTTGACATCACCACCACCACCACTCCAACCCCTGTCCTTTTTCCCTTATAGGAGAAAACTAAGGAACTCAAGAGGAGTCATCAGAATACCTGCCATGTGGGAGACATCAACCCCATTGGTGACTTTTTTTCTGCATCACATATTAGAGGTGAGAGGAATATTTCAGTAGAGGTAAGAGGAATATTTCTTCCCTCCCTATGGCAAGTTAAGTGAAAATGGAGGGGGAAGCAAGAGAAACAATCACGGTGATGAAGAATGCTAGCAAGAGGTAAAAGCCAGCATCTCCAACCCTAGTTAGACTTTGGTGAGGTAGAACAGGCAGATTTACTCTCTCCACACATTTCAACAAGAAGAAAGTAATTGGAAAGAGACAGTAGGCACTGTCTGTTCCCACTGTTTGGTGATGCAAGGATGCCTGAGTTTCCTTAGGGCCAAAGAACACCACAGGAGATATCTGGGCTTAAGCAATCTTGACATTACCCTGCCTAAGAGGGCTGCCTGCTACTGGAGGAGCCAAGTCAAGGAGCAGGAGCTGAAGGTGGACAGTGCAGAAGAATCTGGGTTGCGGTCATCACCCACATCAGATGCCTATGCAACTGGGGCCCCTGCCAAGCCTAATGAAGAGCCTGCCCATGCCCTGCCCTTCAGCAGTGTCCAGACATCGGCCACAGGCACAGTTGGCCATCCAGTGTGCACCACAGCAGCAGCAGCTAAGCAGATGTTTGTCCTTTCCCTCATCCCTGCTCCAAGACCCCAACACTCTGGGAGATATGGAAAAGATGAAGGAAGAGCAGGAAGTAGAGAGGAGCAGGAGAGAAGTGATGTACACATGATTCCCCAGGGTAAGACCATTTGCACCTGGTCACACCTAGACTGACAGGAAGAGTGAAAAAGTGGAAATGATATGAGACTCAAGCTATAAACTTGACTTTTTTAAACATGAAGTGTCTGAAATGCCACAAATGCTTCCTGAGACGTGAAGGGACAGAAAACTCTCATCAAAACATGCTTGAAAACAATGAGGAGAAATCAAATAAGAGGGTTTCATGTTAGTATCCCACTGACTCTCCAATAAACTAGTTGCACAGAAAAAAAAAAAACCCTGACTTCCTGTAATATAAGCAGAAAAGGAATTTATCGAGATGCTACTGAGTGCTCAGTGTAACACCTAGAGGTGCTGAAAGACTAGGTTAGGAAGATGGTGCAGGGACAGAATGAAGTTCTGCTCTCAGAGTTAACATCATTCCTTGGAACCGGTCTGGGAAAGCTCTGCCAGTGGATGCCAGATTCCAGAATTCTCACCATCAACACCTCCAGCCCTGGACACTGACTCTGAGGCAACCACTGCCTCTGGGAATAGGAGGTTGCTGACTTCCCTGAGCTGCCAAAAGAAGTCTCCATTGTCCCAGGTTCCAATTCAAAGCCCAGGGCTGATGCACCTGATTGGCCGAGCTCCAGACGCATGTGCAAGGCCTCTTTGGAAAGGATTCCAAAGAAGCAGGTATATGCACTTTGTTGTTTCTCTCCTGCGAGAAAGGCTCTTCCTCTCAGCAAGTGTCAGAAGCAGGGTTGCTATTAGCCCATACGGTGCTTTGTGCAAAATGAGGAATATGCAAGCCTCTACTTGCGAAAACAAGCAGGAATCTCTCCTGTCTCCGGTGGCTACAGAACACTGTCAGGGATCAGGGATCACAGCATGCCTGCATTTCAGCCTCACATGCCCTCTCTGCTGGGAGTCTTTGTGCAGTGCACAAACTGCACGAGTGTATGTAGTAGCCCTGCTCATAAGGTGAGTGTTTCTCAAATATAAACGGGGATGCAACTGAGGTAACAGATAACATACTACAGGAAGACATCAGACTTAGGGAGAAACACAGTTAGCAGATGATGAGCACACAGCTTGATGGGGACCAGTGAAGAGATGCTGTTATGAAGCCAAGACAAGTGAACAAA